CCCCTCGCCTGGATTTTCCTCCACCTCCTCCTCCTCTTCTCTTTTTCGTTCAAGATGCGAGGACACTCGTTTCCATTTCTTGCCCTCCACAGGAGCAACTGGTATTGTTACTGGTGTCTCCTGTGATCGATTAGATTTGACTTGGGGATTTTCCCCTTTGGCTTGAACCTCAGCTCGGAAACTCTCTCTCTCCAGAATGGTATTATATAGGGCACGGTAAGCACAAGCCAAGCCCCATATCAGTTGTACCTCCTTAGATTTATGTAAGCCGCATAGTCCCTGACTCAAATACTGGCTTAGTTTCTCAGGATCCCACAGGTGTTCAAGAGTAAAATCCCATGACACTGCGGGTCCCCATGCTTCTAAGACCTTTCCTAAACCTCTCCATATTCCCTGCCAATCATCATTCTCTAGTTTTGGAGGAGACTCCTTATTACAAATGCGTTGGAGTACATTCAGGTGAATTAATGACACGCACACCAACATGAGTATTAATTCAAGACTCGTAAAACGTTTGACAAACCGAGAAGAAAACCCAGAGACTGGTCTAAACATCGCGTTGTTTGTAAAATGGGGCGATGGAAAGTACAAATATGGAGAGGCATGGCAGGTTGATTATATCACCTAGCCACGATCTCGCAATGGTAAGCATTATGTGCTCACCATGGTGGAGGCAACCACTGGGTGGCTTGAAACATGTGCAGTAACCCATGCTACCACCCAAAACACCATATTGGGACTCGAGAAACAAGTCCTGTGGCGACATGGCACCCCAGAAAGAACTGAGTCAGATAATGGGTCTCATTTCAAAAATTCTCTTGTAAATACTTGGGCCAAAGATCATGGCATCGAGTGGATTTACCATATTCCCTATCATGCACCAGCCTCTGGTAAAATTGATCGATACAATGGGTTGTTAAAAACCATGTTGAATGGAATGGGTGGTGCAACATTTAAGGACTGGGAGAAGCATTTGGGAGAAGCTACCTGGCTGGTCAACACCAGAGGATTGGTCAGTTGAGATGGTCCTACCCAATCCAGTTCCCTACATACTGTAGAGAGTGATAAATTCCCTGTAGTACATGTAAAGAACATGTTGGGAAAAGCAGTTTGGGTCCTTCCAGCTTCCGGAAAAGGCAAACCTCTCTGTGGTACTGTTTTTGCCCAGGGATCTGGTTCCATTTGGTGGGTGATGCAGAAAAACAGGGATGTTCAATGTGTACCTTGTGGTACACATTGTGACACTTGTGACAGTCCAGATGGAGGAGGAGCTCTCTGATTGTCTCTACCTGAATTGCTGGGGGCATATTCTGAGTAGTGTCCCAGACTTCCAGATCAGGGCATAAAATGCCCTGAGGATAACTAATCTGACTATTAAAGGTAGATGTAAAGAAGGCATTATATTGTTATCTTGCATTCCGATATCAGAGTTAGTAAAATAAGTTTTCCTCCATAGATCGTTGCCGCTGGTTTTTTTTTTGTTTTTTCTTTCCTTCAGCCCAGCTCCCATCTCCCTATCCCTTTTCCCTTTTCCTTCCCATTTTGTGGGGCTGGGGTGGAGGGGGGGGATGGGGGCAGGGGCCTACTGCCCCCCAGTCAGGGGCAGAGATTCATCTCATTAACTCTGTGACACAATGTTACAATGCTGGGCAGAAGAAAACAACATTGAATGGTGATTCCATCTGCCACATAATCCAACGGGTCCAGGACTTACTGAACACTGTAACAGTATTCTTAAGGCTGCCCTGAAGACAGACTCAGCCCCTGCAGGGGTGGACTAAGAGACTCAACGAAACCCTGTGGGACCTGAAGGAAAGTCCCAGAGATGGCAGACCCAGTGCCCTGAAGATACTACAAACCTGGGCTTCCCTGTTTAGAATCCAAATTATGGGCACTGATAATTGGGTAAGACCCCAAATTGGCAATGAAAGTAATCTTCTGGTCTCTGCCCCTGAAAGCCTAGAACCTGGTGCCCATGAAATAGAATGGCGTTGGAAGGTACAAGTAGGACCAAAGTGGTGTGGATTACTTGCGCCTTGGAGGAGATTATTGGAGGTTGGGGGATCAGTAGTCCTCCCAGTATAGGTACATGGCCTGCAGACATCGTGGTCAACACTGGTTTTCATCACTAAGGGGACCTTAATCATGTCCCTATGGCAAATCCAGACTTCCCTTTTGGTACGCTATATAGTTATGCAGCTTCACATTTTGGGCCAAAATGTATGGTACAGACAGCCGGGACATGCCCCAGCGCAAGCTGAAGTGTTGACCCACAACAGGAACACAGCCTATATCTTTCTGTGGAGGTTGGACCTACCCCTTCTGGTACCTCTGAAATGTCTGTACTACTCCCCATGAGTCTCTTCAAGTCCACAGGATCAGCAGGAGGATCGACATGGCATATAGATGCTTCAGTGTCACTATTAGATCAGCATGACACCTGGTGATGGACTATATGGGACTGATGGAACGCGAGCCAAACCTTCCCTGGTCCAAGCAACTATGTGCCTCCAGGAGAACCATTAAGTACTGGCCACAAAGGAACACAGACTTCAACCATGAACCAATCATTAGTCCTCTTATATTTTGTCACCTACATCACGATGGGTAATTGTACAAAGTCTAATCATTAATTATCTTATATTTTGTCAATCTACATCACAACAAATTGTACAAAGTGCCGCAGTATAGTGGATCACCATAATGGAAAGGGCTTACCTTCAACCTGCTCAACCATTGGTTCATGCCGTGAAGGGGTAGAGTGTAGTGGAAATGCTAAGTCAAATTTGAACCAGTGATTGAGCATCTGGTGGGAAGGCAGGGCCAACCCAGGGGAGCTCAGGTGCATGCAGTGCACCTGAGTGACCAGAAGGGGTGGAGCCAGGATCCACCCCTTCCAGACCTCATTTAAGGGTTGGCAGTGTAGGCAAGGTTTTTTTTCTTGAGTTCCTTGCTTACTTGAGGCATTCTAAGGGTAATCAGATATATATATTTTTTTTTTCGTGCATCTATAGCTGCTTTATTTGGGTGTATTGTCACTTGTTGCTGTCTAGAACTTTGTTACTACGCTGTTATTGCTATGCTTTCTGTTGCCTTACAGCATTACACTTGGTCCTTCTTGTACTAGGAGCCCGAAGTGGACATAGTAGTCTAGGTTTAGCCTCACTAATGCTAAGTAGAAGGAAAGGATCACCTCTTTTGATCTACTGGTGATGTTTTGTCTAATGCAGCCTATGACACAATAAGCCTTTTTGGCTGCAGGGATACACTGCTGGTTCGCTTTCATCCTGGACTGCTAGGGCTTTTTCTGCAAGTCTGCTTTCCAGATGGGTGCCCCCAGTATGTTGACTGGTGGCTGGGATAGTTCCTCCCAAGGTGCAGGGCTCAGCACTTCCCCTTGTTGAACTTCATGAGGTTCAAGTCAGTCCACCTCTACAACCTGTCCTTGTCCCTCTGTATGGCAGCATGTCTCTCCAAGTCAGCCACTCCCCCCAGTTTCATCTCATCTGATGGTTTACTGAAGGATCACTTTACCCCACTGTCCAGATCATTAATAAAGATGTTACACAACACTGGTGTTATTCCAAAGCAAAAAGACATAAAATGATTATCAAGACCTCTCTGCCCAATTCTACAATGAAAAATTAATTAAGCTATAATATAGGTTTAAAAAAGCATGCTCCCAGGAAGACATTTTACCAGGAAAATTTTTGCCTGAACACTTACATTTAGCTAAGTTGAATTAAAACATCACCAACACGAAATCCACATGCTGAGAACAAACTCTTAAACTCTTCTGTTGAGCATTTTTATTCCCTTAAAAAAATAAAAAAAAAAAATTCAAGATGCCATGAAAAACTTCTGAACTGCACAAAGATCTTAACCAAGCAAACCATAGTAGCACTGTTGATATAGAAAAAGAAATATAGACTTCTAAAATGTTTTTTTGCTTTGAAAGACAATGCTTCTTTTTCCATAAAATAAATTCAAGATACAAAGCTTTATTTATCACATGTGAACAATATAAAGAGAATGCAACACTTCCATATAGTTCTGTTTCTTTTCCCAGTAATAACTTCAAGGAACTTGAGATTGTAAAGAATTTTCCTTCCAACTTAGGATCTGTTGTGGTTTCACTCAGCAGGCAACCCCTTCTCCCCATAGGGTAGAGAAGAGAAGAAAAATTAGTACTCACAAGTTAAGATAAAAACTATTTACAGGGGCTGCTCTTATCCTATTATGCATCTTATTCCAATATGCTGGGGATATGGCAGTAGAGGTTGAACCTTCTCACCAATATTCCATCAAATTTTGTTGCCATGCAACAGATAGCAGCAGGGGGGTATTCTGACAAAATGGCATCTGACATGGAAGTGCATATGAAGGAAAGGTGTGTCACTGAATTCCTCCACGTGGAAAAAATTGCACCTACTGACATTCATTGATGCTTGCTGAACTTTTATGAAGACCAAACAGTAGATGTGAGCTGATATCAATGTTGTTTTTCTCCTAAAGCCAAAACGCAGCATCATACCAGATACTATGAAGTAAAAAATCAACTCTGTCTCAGTTGTAACCAGGACAATATCCACTCCTTATTCCATATAATTTACATCACACTCAGGTCCCACATGCTTATGAGGTTGTTTTGGAAATGAGTCCCGTTATCTGACTCAGTTCTTTCTGGGTCACCATGTCACCATAAGACTTGCTTTTCAAGGCCCAGGATAGCATCCTAGGTAGTGACATGGGATAGCTTTCCAGCCATCTGGTGGTTGCTTCTGCCACTGTAAGTGCATGGTGCTTGCCACGGCAAGTTTGTGGCAATGTTGAGATAATCAACCTGCTAGATATCTATATATTTATATTTCAGCCACTGACCTCCATACCAAATGGGCTTTATCCCTTTGGCTTACTCAATTGCAGCACATTCCACATTCATAGGTAGTGTGTGCAGTAGCGTCCACCCCTCCCTCAATCCCAAGCCCATCTATATGTTGCATCTATTCCTTGAAGGCCTGAGGTGTCACAAACCCACCGAACCAGAAATAATCCATCCTTATGTTGCTAATGCAGACCTATGTGAGCCACTGTTGTGGTTTAAGCCAGCAGGCAGTGAAGTACTATGCAGCCTTTTACTCACTCCTCCCTCACCCAGCAAGATGGAGGAGACAATCTGGGAGAAAAAAAAAAAAAAGTAGAACTTGTAGGTTGAGATGAAAACTATATACTAAGACAGAAAAGGGAGAAATAATAGTAATGATAATAATATATATACATTTACAGAGCAAGTCATGCACAATGCTCACCACCGACCAACCAAAGCCCAGCCAGTCCCTAAGCAGCAGCTACACACCCTGGCCAACTCCCCCAAGTTCTTACACTTTTTTGTATGATGTCATACAGTATGGAACATCACTTAAACCCATTTAGGTCAGTTCTCCTGGTTCCGTCTCCTCCCACCTCTTTCTGCACACCCAGACCCCTCACTGGCAAGAGAGTAAGAGAGGGTGAAGCCCATTTGGCTCTGTGCAGCACTACTCAGCAACAAATAAAACATCTCTATGTTATTAACATTGTTATTCTCCAAAAATAAAAACATAGCATCATACCAGTCACAATGAAGAAAATCAATTCTGTCCCAGCTGAAACCAGGACAACTTCATTCCTAGCAGCTTAATCCACCTGCTGTTTGTTTTGATGTTCTTTGGTGGCATAACTTTTAGGTACATGGGCATCTACATAACGTGCTTTTATAACCACATTGTCTACCCAGGCATCAATATCTTTCCACAATGCAGCAGTCCAGATGGATTTGCCTCTGTGCTGCCAGCTGTTCTACTCCCATTGCTGTAACCACACTCATAGGTCATTTGACACCATATAAGAGCCAGTATAGAAGAAGAGTACTGGCCACTTCTCTTGCTCAGCAATGTCTAAAGTCAGCTGGATGGCCTTCACTTTTGCAAATTGGCTCAATTCACTTTTTCCTTCAGCAGTTTCTGCAACTTGTCATATATGGCTCCATACAGCAGTCTTTTACTTCTGACACTTTCCCGTACTACAATAGGACCTATCATTGAATGAGGCATATTGCTTCTCACTTTCTGATAGTTCATTATACAGTGGAACCTCTTTAGCACACCTTCAGGTCACTCTATAGAAATTTCAAGATGCCTTAGTGACTGGGATTTGCTTTTCAAGCTTGTTGTGTGATCAGTGCAAGCCACTTACTCCACATAGCATCAGTTACTTGCTGTGTGGAGGGGATCCTCCCTTTGAACATCCAGCCCAGCACAAGCAGTTAGGGCATCAAGAGGAGCCATGTTTCAGTACCAACCACTTCTGATGCAGCTTTGAACCCCTTCATATACAGACAATACTTCTTTTTCAATTGGAGTACAGCAGGCCTCGGATCCTCTGTATCCCTTGAAAGATCCTTGACAGGCCCCATAAGTGAAAGTAAAAAGGCAAGAAGGCTTCACAGTGACAGAATAAGGGGGGTGAAGGGGAATAGTTAGAGATAGTTTACAGAAGCAAGAATGTAGAGCTTGTTAGAAAATAAGGGATGGCAGACACTGTGTCTGGGATAGTAAGAGGGATGAAGGCCGAAAAGATAAGGGTTTGAGAACAGCCCGAGGACATTTGGCAGGGAGGCAGGTTTGACTCGGTCCCGGGAACTCTCTCTCTCTCATCTTGTCTGATTTATTAATCTCAATTTCAATTAAATTGTATTATATTGTGTTATCTTGTATTCCGATATTATAGTAAAATAAGTTTTCCTCCATAGATTGTTGCCGCTGTTCTTTTCCTCCCTTCCTTCCTTCCTTCCTTCCTATTTTTGTGGGACTGGGGTAGGGGGGAAGGCAGAGGCCTGTTGCCCCTGTCACAGATGTAGATTGATCTAGTCAACTCCGTGACAGTACCACAAGGGAATTTGATGTTGAGGGAGTGTAGTCAGTAATTTCATGTATATATATGTGTGTATGCATGTGTTTAATGCTTGTTCATTATCATTTCACAGAATCACAGAATTGTAGGGGTTGGAAGGGACCTCCAGAGATCATCGAGTCCAACCCCCCCACATTAACAACCCAGAGCTCCCTATTGCCTTCCTGATATCAGCCTATCTCATTTGAGGGTGGCACCTCACTGGTTTGGAGATAACTCTACCAAAGTCTTTGCACAAAGAGCAGTAGCTTATTGGAGGTTTCTTGTGTACGCTAAGCTAGAATAGCATGTTTAAGATAGCACATCAGACTACTCATAGATTGAGCAAAGGAGAATCAGCACCATAAAACTTGATCATATCAACAAGTCCCTTTTACTAAAAATGCATATCCTTTAAGATATGATCCAAAATAAGGCAGCATGGTCATAAAATTCACAGAAAGAAAGCATTTGGTGTTTTTGCACCATGATATAGGTAAAATTATGATTACTTTTGTTCCTCATACATTTTATGAGTTCAGCATGCATAACTCAACCAAAGGCAAATAATTTTTCTTGTTTGTCTAGTAGTGCATTTTCACTTCAGAATAAGCCATAACTCTTACTCAGTGTTGTCCACCACTGTACATATGTTTAGTGATACTTTAAGCTTGAACTAGTAGACCTGTGTGGATTACATCCCAAAGGTCTCAAACAGAATGCATTTTTAATCAACATCTGGTTGAAGAAGTAACTGAGCTAGACACTGATGAGACAGAAGCACTAGCAGATGCAAAAAAAAAAAAGAAATGAAAAAAAAAACAAACAACCGAACACCTCCATCCCTAAACAATTCTCAACACCAAAGATCTCCATCCACAGTATTTCACCTTCCTTTGCTGCTCCTCAGTCTTGAATACCCTTTTGCCCAGGGAGGTGGTAGAGCCACCGACCCCGGAGGTGTTCAAGGAACATTCAGACATTGTGTTAAGGGACATGGTTAAGTGAGAACTATTGGTGATAGGTGGATGGTTGGACTGGATGATCTTGTAGGTCTTTTCCAACCTTGGTGATTCTATGATTCTAACATCGTGCATAGCACCTGAATGCCAGACTAGCAATAACTGCAAGAATTCAATTCCACTTAGCTGCCTACAACACTACATCTTAACCTAAACTCATAGGCACTGTTGATGACTCAAGATAAATCATTTCACATTACTGTCTTGTTGAGATATTTGCTCAAGGTTGAAGTTCTGCTTTAAGTTCCAGATGTCCTGTTTACCTATGAAAAGCATTCTGGATGACAAAAATATACTTCATAACTTCAAGACATTCACAAATAAGAACAACAAGAACAGACATCCTTTAGATAGACTATAAATAGAAGCCAGTGCAAAGTTGTAACGCTATAATGGGATGGAAAGCACAGTGCTAGTAGCAGAGTGGCAAATCCATTGGCTGCAGCAAATGAGAACAAGTCCAAATGCAGCAGCTGTAGACACAGAAACAAAGGAAAAAGGCTGTTTAGCTACGGAAGGCCTCTGGTAGGCAGGGATCTTCAGAGAGGTACCCTCACCTCTAGGCATCTATACCAGGCATCTTAAGGAATGGGATATTTCCCTTCCTAAACAGGACCCTTCTCTGGTGGAGCGACCATTGTCTCTTCTGGCACATCACTGATATGTCACTTGGCCTAGGATCTTCTGGAGTACTTCTTTCAGTGGTGACGAAGACAGACTACTCCTCTGACTGAGATAGGTAACCCACCATGCCTCTGTCTGCTTGGGCCACCCATGACTCAGGAAGGTGCGTCAGATCTTTCACCCACCCCTGAATTAGCAAGGCTGTCTTAACTATGACTTCAGATGTTTGGGTTATTGGCTCTACCGCCCATAATGCAGAATAGGCAGCCAATAATTGTTTTTCAGTCATACTATACCTCTCTTCTGCTTCATGCCAGACCTGAGACCAGAACCCAACTAGGGTTTGAACAGAATTTTGGTGCTGCCATAGGCCCCAGCCAAACCCATCCTGAGTTACATGGACATCGAGTTTGGCTGGAAGGGTGGGATTGAATATGCCCAGTGCCTGGGTCTGTTTAACAGCTAGTTTTGTTTGCTGGAAGGCCTCCTGTTCTCCCCCAGTCCCATTTTTGGCTTTTTTTTTTGTGAGCCAATACAAACACCCCAGCAGCTGCACTAAGTGGGGGATAAAGGAATGCCAGTATCCCAATATACCCAAAAAGTCTTGCAGCTGCCTTGGCATGGTAGTAACCAGGTGCACATGAACCTTGTCTATTATTGCACTAGGTAGTACTTCGGTCTTTCCTGACCAAACTACACCCAGGAATTTCACTGACAAGCCTGGACAATAGGCTGGTGAATGCAAGTACCCTTGCAGCAGGACCTGAGAAGTCTACTGCCTGCATCCCCACGTAAATGCAAACTGATCTTGTGATTCTTAATGAATGGAAATACTGAAGAATGCATTTGCCAAGTTTAGGACACAATGGTAGGTTTCTATCTTCCTACTCAATGTGTCCATCAGGAAGTCAATATTGGGTACAGCTGCATGAATGGGCAGCATGACCATCTCCAAGTGTCAATCTCCAAGTGCCATCTGACTTACATACTGGCCATATAGGGGAATTTTATGGGCTTTGTGCAGGTCTTATGATCCCTACATTTTTTTGTTCCTGCACTGTTCTGGGGATTTCCTCTTGCCCCTCCCCCCATGAGTCTATACTGTTTAGTATTAAGTAATCCAGCACAGATTTGGCAAGCGAATAGGCTCATGCTTCATATGGCCTCTTAGTATTGCCTGCACCATCCGGATACTAATACATCTCACTCTCAGTCTGAACTTTCCTACAGTTGTCTGGAGAGTCAGACCCCATAGCGTATCTGTGCCCAATATATACTCCAGGACTGGGGCAATTGACACCTTATACTCCCAGGGTGGGAGACGCCCAACTTCAACCATGTCTAGGTCACAGGAATGGTCTGTGCCCCAAACTCACCAATCATCACTCCACCTCCCTGGAATTTGGTCAGATCACTGTAAAGAAATGACATTTCTGCACTTGTGTCAACTAGTGCCATAACCAGCAATTTGTTCTTTTGGGACCAAAAAATCATCCATTCAATATAGGGCCTCCAGTCCTGACTGGGGGCCCTAGGTGCAGGGCAGCTGGTATCCCCTGTCACGCAAGTAACTGCACAAGTGCAAGAGTTTTTCCTTTCATTGGGAAATAAGAAATCTTCCAAGTTCCACATTCATTCTCACCTCTAATTATTGGGGATATTTTGAAACTTCTCACTTTCTTCCAACTGCCTTTATAGCTGGAGAACATGATTGGGCTGGCAATCAATTTTTGCAAATTGAACCCCAGCTCAGATTAAGTCATTAAACATCTGGTTTCGGGACACCTATGTGGGTTCCGATTGAGGAGTCCATGGGGCAGGTCTCTTAGTTTTAGCTATGGGGAGGACCTCTGCCTCTTCCAATGTTAGGAAGATTGCACCTGGTCTGAAGGCACTGTTTCCCCCAGATCAGCCACCAATTGGGCAGCTTGTTGGATTATGGCCTCTGAGGCTGCTGAGGCATTCAGTATGGGCACCACTGTGCCATACTGATGGAGAGGGGCTTGTTGTAGTATGAAGTCCCTCATTCGTGCCAAAAACTTAACCAGGACCGCATTCTCAAATGCATCATCATAAATGGCCTCCTTCATTCCCAGTTCTCTAATATAATTCTGGAGTTCTTCCATTGATGTCCATAAACCATTATTTATTACTACATCACTTTTGTTCAGCTATGTGATTCTACATGCCATCATTACCCACTGAATTAGAAAATGATTCTTGTCACTATGTATTACTGTCACATACAGCCTCTGTCTGAGGGCTGGATGTGTTGTAATAGATGCCAGTTTGGAAATCTCGGACCCATTAATTATAACACTTTCAGCTGTCATGTCCCATAATCTCAAGAGCCAGGCTGGTATGCTCTCTTGGAGTCTTGGTTTAAATCGCTGTAACAGATCCATGAGTTCAGCAGCTGTGTACAGGCACACCCTTACATATAGTGTGGTATGGGCAGGGGCCACTCTTCAGGTGCCAACCCTGCTGGCCTATCCTGGATTTTCTTGACTTGAGTTATTACCAGTCTTATTTCTAGAGGATCTGAGGTTCCCAGATCCTCTAGTTGGATTTCAGTCTGTTTGGCTTTCTTTTTGTTCTTAGATTCAACTAGGATGCAAGGATCCTGCTGATCTAAATTCTTTTCCCCTTCTAATGATATAGGTCTTAATTTCAAAGGGAAGGTTCTATTTGAAGGCAAGGCAGTTTGTCCCATCTAAGATGTCTTCCAATTGTCTAATATGAAAATGAGCTCTTAAAAGCCCATCTTTTAATTCTTCCTCATAGGAAAGATAATGCATTAATAGTAGCAGTGGCCATGCTACAGCAATGCCACTACTATTTCCTCAGTTGTCAAAAAATGTTGGCCTAATTTATTTATGAAGTCAGCCATTTTTGAAGAGGATTTAATAATGGGACCATTGTCCCTTATAGGTCCTCATTCTTCAATAATTCATGCAGAACTTAGCCATGGGGAACCCAGGAATCCCAGAGTTTCCCCCAGGAGTTCCTCTTTCAGTTAATTAGTGGTCCCAGTGACCATCCAACACACCATTTTTTTTTTAGATAATCCATCCTAATTAAGCATTTGGCTGGCTCGCCAAGTGTAACACTATAATGTGATGGAAAGTACAGCAATAAAAGCAGGGTGTGAAAGCCTTTGGCTACAGCAAATGAGAACAAACCCAAATGCAACAGCCGTAGACACAGAAACAAACAAGAAAGGCAACTCACCTTTGGCAGGCCTCAGGTAGGCAGGGATCTCCAGAGAGTGATCTCTCTCATCTCCACTGCCAACCCTTAAATGAGGTCTGGGAAGGGATGGATCCTGGCTCCACTCCTTCCAGTCACTCAGGTGCACTGCATGCACCTGAGCTTCCCTGGGTTGTCTCTGCCTTCCCACCAGGTGCTCAGTCACTGGTTCAGGCTATGACTTAGGCATTTCCTCTACAAAACATTTCTGGAGATTTCCCATCTTGCACCCTGTACAGGATAAAGCAATATCTCCTCTCTAAACACTTAGATTTTTGAATGTTCTTCAGGAGATTTAACACTGACAACTTGCCTCAGTTTTATAGTTTTTCCACATGACATCATACGATTTGGAACATCCCTTTGGCCAGTTTAGGTCAGCTATCCTGGTTCTGCCCCCTCCCAGTTTCTTGTACACCCCCAGACCCCTCACTGGCAGGACAGCATGAAGAGCTGAAAAGCTGAAACATCCTTGGCTCTGTACAGTGCTGCTCAGCAACAACTGAAATATCGGTGCCTTATCAACACACTTATTCTCCTAAAGCCAGAACATAGTATCATACCAGACACTATGAAGGAAATCAACTCTATCTCAGCTGAAACCAGGATACTTATTCAACACTTAGAGTAAATTACAATGAATTTTCTATCTCCATGAAAGAATAGATGCACAGTTTTGAGAGTCATTACAAGACCTCCATAAAACCACTTTCCTCAAACTACATCAGGTAAACAAGTTTGATTAGCTAGTTAACAGCAGCACAAATTTGCATTTGTCTGTAAATAAGCTTTCATATATTTGCTTTATTCTTCTGTTTTTCTTATAAACCAAGACTTTGGAGTCAAGGAAGGTCTTTATTACAGATTCATGAAACAAATAACATGGATTCATATTTAGGGTTCATTGTGGTAACCCAATACAAATAAAAAATGTGTTTCTCATTTTAACTTTTTTTTTTTTTTTTTGCCAAATTGAGTAAGTTGATTTCAAAGATAATAGATGCTAACAACTATCATGTTATTACTATTTAAACCTTCTGATACACAAAAAAAAACCCAACCATGATTTAAGTGAATATGTCTATACAAGATGTATCATTTCAGATTCCTGAGCTGCACTGTAAGACCCTGCCCCTGGTCTTAGGTATCCAAGTAAAGACATCTGTTTAAAAGGTGCTTGGACCTGAAAATGCCTTCTATTTTCTTAGACAGAGCATTCATTGTAACATTGCTTCAGCTGAATGAGACAGTCCCTTGTATTTTCTGGAGCTTCAGCTCCTCCCTCATCCACCCAGTCTCCAATAGGTTGGGCTAGTATAATTTTAACCAACATTAAAAAAGATTTTGTCCTCCCACACTGACAGAGGTGGAGGCAACAACTTGGGAAGCAAGCCCTGCCTTCCCTGAAGCTGAAGAAAGGCCCAGGGTGACAGACGATAACTCACTGGTATTGTTGACTATAAGCGACTATTTTAATTTAAGGGTTTGGGGACTCCATAAAACCGTTGATTCCCTTCCACTTCCATGGTGCTCAGCTCCACCTCCCCACCCTCACACCATGGGGATGCAGTAAGGTTCATACCAACCGAATAAGAAAACCCGCAGGTGAGGCAAATGAGAAGGAAGGTCCCCGGCATGGCCACCCCAGAGGAGCAGGGCACAGAGGAGGCCCCGACTCAGGAACAGCGCTAGGCACTCAGCCCCCTAGGGCGGGGAGGTTCCATTCGGGGACAAGGCACCAAAGGCACAGTAGGGAGAGTAGGCTCAGAATCGGGGCAGAGAGGGGTAGCAGCGGTTACCTATATTGAGCAGCAGCCCCGCTATGGGTGAATCCAAAGTAGTTGCCGGTAGCCATTTTAGCATCTTCTCCCAGGCGGCTGGGTACTGTAGCGATGATATTCCAGAGGCAGCGGCAGCAGCAATTGGGACCGTGACAGAAGGCCCAGCAGGAAGAAGTGGGGAGAAGAAAAGAAGGGGAACAGAAAGAACGCGCGAGAGTCAGGTCAGACGTGACACCTCAGAACCCTCACAGCCGTCCACCCCACCCACAGACGGACCCCAAGCGCTGTTACTTACCATAGGTAAATGAAACTACTGGGCATATAGGAATCATGAGTCCGAGCTAGCGGCGGAGATGAAGGAGGCGGAGGCACTGTCTGAACTCTGAACTCTGAACTCCTCCCTTCCTCTTCCTCTTCCTCCTCCCCTCCCCTCCCCTCCGCCGCGCAGCGCTAACTCGCTCCCCTTCCCTCCCCCCCCACCTACCTACAGCAGAGTGCGACCAAACCGGCACTGATATACAAGCATAAAATGTCAGAGAAACCGCTGGGAGCGGTAGGCCGGCCCGTAGCTGCACTACCTTCCCATGCCCCCAAATGAACGTGTTTGGTATCGTGGGAGCCGCTGCCGCATTGAGCGGATAGAGCGGGTGCGCATGCGCCGGGTGCTTTTTGGAGCTGCATTCTTCCACCATCTCGAGGTCTAGGTGTGAGGGAGTACTGCATGTACCACTTTCCTGGCTCATTCCTCCTTCCGTTATTTCATGGTTTGTACCCATAATTGCACCACAGCCATACTTGTGAAGTTACATGGTAAATACAGGGCTGATTCTCATTCTTGCCTACATTAGCACAACACACTGTAGTTGGTAACACAAGTAGCAAAAGTCTGGGTGAAAGGGATCACCACCACCCTTGCCCTGTACCAACATTTGTCCCTATGTGTGTACTGGACACATCAGTATTGACTGGCTTTCCCACCTAAGCATGTTATCAGCTGAAGCCTGACATGCAGAGCAAGTACCTCATTACCATTTGTGCAAGGCCATGCAGCCAAAAGGCAGAACGTGCACAGAGCTCACAGCGAGACCAGGACTTGTTTAATTTGCAGCAAGTTTTAGATTCATCTGGGCCTGAGGGCACACCACCACAATCACACAAATGAAGAACAAGGTAAAAAAACAAAAAAAACAAAAAAACAATGTGCGTATCTAGTCTGACCTGTCCCCAAGGTGCCACAGCAGGTGCATGTCCACAGAATTGTGCAATAGTTCCCATATGCTTACTGTACACACAAGGTAAAGACTCACACATACAGGATCCACTTATCTGACACTTATAGGGAGCAATGGTCCATCAGATTGCTCCTAAAAATTGCTGGGCACCATATTGTAGGCCATGCACCCACCCCCTGGTGACCAAATGTACACTGCAGTTTTGTGCTTCATGTGTTTCACCTTCAGGCAGTCTTTCCCTCTGAACTATGGATGCTTCTCAAAACTCTGAATGCAGCAAAATTTAAATACTTCTCATTTGTGTGCTTTGCACTATGACATGCAGTTTTCATAAACTGATTGAAGCTCATAAAACACTCATGGATTAATTCAGAAGTGATCGTTTCATAGTTAGTTGTTTTCCATAAGCCCCACCTATTCAAAACGTCCTTGTGATCTCCTACTGTTCTCACAAAGCCACAGGTTTCCCTTATCCCAAAGTACAAGCAGTCTTCTTAGGCAGTAAAGCTTTAGAAATATTTCTGTTCATAAAACAAATGACAAAAGGAAAATAATTTATCATCTGAAATTTACATTATTGCAGCTTCTTTTTATTTTGCAAGATATTTAATAGCATTATGAAACAGGGAATTTACAAGAGTTAGTTAAAAGTGCACACCTCTAATTTTTGGTATTAACTTCCTGTTTTTCTGTTATTAAACTAAAAAAAAGCCATACTGAGAGCCTTTTTACCTCACTTCATAGTGAGAACTATGCAGACCTCATGCGTCCCCTTCTAGAGAACTCATTCCCTGTCTCGCTCCAATTTATAGGAGGGAGAGGAGGTTCTTTGATATGTGTATACCCGGCGTGAGATTAAGAAACAACGGTTCAAATGTTGGTCTGACCAGTTTATTACAAATCTTAATCAGGGAGATGAAAAAAGGGAGGATGGACACTATTACGAACTAGAGTAATGGGGAAGGGAAGGAGGACAATAGAAAAGACAGGAAAGAAGAAACAAGGAGTCTTCATAGGAAGCAAGAGGGACATAGTCACCACCATGGATCCAGCGTGGTCAGTCATTGATCTTCAGTAGTGCTGGGTCGTCGGGCATTGTTGTTCTGTTGACAACGACAGTGACCACAGCAATGATGGCAACTTCTCAATGGTGTTGGAAATATCCAAATAATTTTGTCAGGACGGTATCACTAATAAAAGCAGATTTTATTCATGATTGCAATGGCGGGCATCCCGCAAGCAGGAGCACCCTTAAGGACACAATGACAGCTTTTTGTATCTTGTTTCCCCCTTTGCCTATCCCCCTCCCCTGTTTCCCCATTAGCTGGGTACTCCAGGTTCACAATCTTATCGAAGTTTACATTTGTTAATTGGTGTGTTATCTGGTATCAGCCAGTAGGCATCCTGTTGTTTCCAAGATGTCTCAGTGCTCTTCTTGTCGTACTGATATGGTGATTTTCCTCAAAGTTTTCATTAAACAGAGAGCACCAGGGGCTGGGGGTGATGCCAGGCCTTCCCGATGTCTCTTCAGGCGCTTCCTTGGGCATGCCATGACTTGTTCTCTGGTTTGATCAATCTCGTGCAGGATATTTTTGCAATGTGTATGACAAAATATACATATATACACCTTCATACTGAGAGTGCATTCCTGGGTGTAGGAATGGAATGTTGTTTCTGCATTAGATATTAAAAAGGGGGAATTGATCTGAAGAAGTAGAGCACAATGTATTTGTATTTTGTAACTTGTCCTTAGAAATAGCTGATGTGAAAAAGTAGAAATACCATATATGTTAGTAACATACTTTAGAAATATAGTTGCTGAATTGTGTGATTAATTCTTGCTTGCAAAACTGCAATAGTTTTTAAATGTTCCAAATAGTATAGGTATAGTATTATGGACTAGAAAGCATATTGTAGGGCTATTGTGTTTGGATAAGAGACCCTCAGCAAAAGAAAAACAGATTTAGCAAACATCAAAGAAGCCAGGGCCTCTAAACAAGGCTGAATTGCCTCGCTCTGTGGCTAGGTTGGGATGCAACAGGCAGGCATCAAGATACTACTGCCTATCCTCCTTCCAAGCTTATCTCTATGCAAAGATGAGCAGATGTCCAGAAACAATGACCAAGTGTTGCATGAGCAAGTGTGAGAAGTTAACTAATTAGCGATATATGCTTAGCTAGCAAAAAATTACGTTTAGCCAGTATCCGTATATTCAGTTGAGCGTAGGGAAGATTGTGAACCTGAAGTACTCAGCCAATGAGGAACCAGGGGAGAAAGAGATAAGTCTTAAGTAATAGGGGATAAAAGATGTAATGCTGTTTTCTGCATGCTCTCCTGCTTGCAGGATTGCAATTGCGAATAAAATCTGCTTAATCAGAGATACCGTCCGGATAAATTATTTGGATATTCCCAACACTGGGGAAAGTTCGTCTAGAGGATAAGTGATGCAAACTATCAGAACTATGGCAGCGGAGACCATGAAATAAAAAAATATTATCTAATTCTAATGCAGAAACAACATTTGAGTCCCACAATTCCCCCCTTTTCTTTTTTTCCATACGTTGTTGATTTCTGCAATTCTTTTTTAAGGTTCACTTTCATAGACATCTCCCTCTTGTTCACTTTATTTCCTATCTTCTCTAATACCAGCATTTTATCCTAATATGGTGGTGGTTCCATTGGTGTTTGCTTCAAATAGTGCTGTCTCGATCAATCGCTGTACCAGTCCCCTCACACAGGGGATAACACAGCAACCAATGGCCATCGGGGCTCCTGCTACTACTATCAAAGAAGTAAAAGTGGATACAATCACCCCCTTTCCATTTACCAAACCAGGACTCCAACCATCCAGTGATAGAAGTATCTATTCCTGATTTTCCTGCCAGTTCATTGGCAAGGGTGGTAAGCCCTTGCAATGCCTTAGTTGTCATCCGGAGCTGTGTTATTGGGATGAAGGTGCAACAACGGGTACCCAGCATTACACTTACACCCCCTTTTCAGCTTGAATCATATCTTAGGCGATTATATTTTCCCAGGCCATCCTACTTGCAGCGTCTAACTGTTCCACAATTCCCTTTATTGCAATCTTTGTATAATTTGTAAATCTCCATTGATTATAACAGATGTAGTTAATCCAATCTACATTCTTGTTGATCATCACTCACCAGGACAGTGACTCAAACCCTGCAACAGTTCGATTTCTTGCCTTAAAATCATCAGGGACAAGAAGTGGAGAGTTTAAATCCTTAGCTTGCCCACATACCAAACCATTACTGATATTAGTATACTTTGCAATGATGTTTTTCACAAGAGATATATAAGTATTTACATCAAACACTGCACTTATCAAATTAACATTTCTAACAATTACAAGAGCCTATATTACTGCCTTTGGATTCACAATGTCAAAGGTCCAGCTGACTTTGGTTCCCATTGTGTTTGAGGGACCTTCTTAACTCTAGTATTATGTATCCACAATGCTTGTTCTTTAATTTTTACTGTTGTGTGAGACATCAGCAGCACCTGGAACAGACCTACCCACCTTGGTTCCAGGGGCGAATCTGAAAGAGATCTAGTATATACATACAATCTGATCAAATATTATGTATCGAGCCATCAAGGCCTTGGGCTCTAGTTCCTAGAACCAGTTTCTCTATTTCCCAAAGCTACTCCTGTAGACTTATCACATACTCAATATTTCACTCCCTACCCGGGTAGAGATCCCCGTTTGTACAACATAAGGCCTTTTGTACAGTATTTTGAAAGGACTTAACCCCTCTTTGGCTCTAGGTTTCGTTCCAGTCCTCAGGAGAGCCAAAGGCCACGACTGTGACCAGGATAGTCCAGCTTCCTGGCCCAGTTTTACAACCTGTGATTTAATTAGGTGGTTTATCTTTTCCTCCAGACCACTTGCCTGTGGTCTGTGCGGTATGTGCAATTGCCAGTTTATTCCCAATGCTTGCTGACCTGTTGGACAATCTCTGCAATAAAGTGAGTTCCCTGGTTGAAGGGTATTGTTGCAGGAGATTATTCCAAGGTTTGGGTGTCCTGCAACAATACCTTGGTTATTTCTTTGGCTTTATTGATCCTGCTTCTGGCCATCCTGAAAGGGTATTGGTTAGAAGCAGCATATACCGAAACCCTCCTTTC